GCTTCTGCAGAGGACCTGCTAACAGTGGGCTGTTTCTTTGACTTCCATGAAACAAGACAATCACCAATGAAAAAGGCATAGCCAGTGATGCTTCTTCTGGTGTCAAGGCAACCAGCCCAGTCACTATCACTATATCCTTTTAAAGTTAAAGTAGAAGTTCTGGGATAGAGAATACCTTGTCCAATGGTGCCTTTAACATACCTGAGAACTCTGTTTGCAGCTGCCATATGAAGGTGAGTAGGACAAGAAACAAACTGACTCAAGGTATTAACACTATGAGACAAGTCAGGTCTAGTGATAGTTAAATATAAAAGTCTGCCAATCAGTCTTCTATATTCAGAAGCATCAACATTAATGTTGACATTGTCAGGAACAGTAGTAGAACATTTAGCAGATAACTTCAAATTAGGATCCATAGGGGTTTTGGCAGGTTTACAAGCCAAGTAACCTGTATCTTTTAAAATATCTAAGGCATACTTTCTTTGGCATAAATGAAGGCCTTTATTAGACTGAGCAATTTCAATGCCAAGAATATACTTCAATGTACCCAGATCCTTTATTGTAAAACATTTATCAAGATGTAATTTGATAGCATTAATGGAATCTAAGTTATTACCTGTGACTATTATGTCATCCACATAGACAAGTAGAACAAGGATGAAATCAAATGTGGACATGACAAATAATGAACAATCAGAGACAGATTGGGTGAAACCATATGCAAGCAGGCAATTAGTGAGTTTTTGGAACCACTGCCTAGATGCTTGTTTTAAGCCATATAAACTTTTTGTTAACTTACAAACCCTAGTGTCAGTGGCAGCCAAATATCCAGGGGGAGGGGGTCATATAAACAGTTTCATCTAAGTCTCCATGCAAAAATGCATTATTAACATCTAGCTGATGAATATGCCAATGCTTAATGGATGCAACACTTAAAAGAACTCTCACAGTGGTTATTTTGGCAACAGGAGAGAAGGTATCAAAGTAATCTATACCATCTTCCTGTGTGTACCCTTTTGCCACTAATCTAGCCTTATATCTTTCAATTGTACCATCAGATTTATATTTTATCTTATAGACCCATTTACAGCCAATGCAATGCTGGTTAGATGGTAAATCAACAAGTTGCCAAGTATTAGTGCTTTCAAGTGCAGAGATCTCTTTATTCATGGCTTCTTGCCAGAGAGGGTCTAGAACAGCCTTTTTATTTGATTTAGGCTCAGAATGAGATGTAATGGATGCAGTGAAACAAGCATGTTTGTCAGATAATGATTTGTCAGATAGAAAATGAGATATAGGATATAATGTACCAGAATTGTCCTCATTTGTGGAAGAAAGAAAGTTAGATGATGGGGGTAGAGAATGTTTGTAGATATTAAGGTATGGAGGGGGATTTCTGAGTCTGGTAGATCTTCTGAGTGTGGTTGTGGGAGGGGTTGTAGTATTATTTTGTTGTAGAGGGACAGGATTGGAAGTAGGTGAGGTGGGAGGTGAATGTATTATTTGGGTTATAGGAGAAGGAGCAGATGTAACTGAGGGAGTAGGTGGATTTTGTACTGTAGGAGAATGAGCAGGGGTAACAGGGATATAGTTGTCATATGTAAAATCAGGTGGTTTGGAGAATAAAGGTTCTGAATTAGAATTGGAAATAGAATCAGGATTTTTGAAAGGTAACACATGTTCATAGAAGGACACATTTCTAGAAATTAATATTTTCTTGGTTTCCAGGTTGTAAAGTCTATAACCTTTACAACCAAGAGGATAGCCAAGTAGTATGCATTTGGATGCCCTAGAATCAAACTTAGACCTATGTGCAGTCAAAGTGGATGCATAGCATAAACAGCCAATGACTCTCAGATGATCAATTAATGGTGGTTTGTTATGCAGTTTTTCAAAAGGAGAAATATTGTTATGCACAGTAGATGGGATTCTATTAATAATGTGTGCAGCAGCAATGACACAATCAATCCAAAATGGTAAAGGAAGATGAGCATGGAATAGAATAGCCCTAGCTACTTGCAACAAATGTTGATGTTTCCTTTCAACTCTACCATTTTGCTGTGGTGCTTCAACACAAGAAGTTTGATGAATGATGCCATGATTGGTGAAAAAATCATGTAAAAGAAATTCAGTACCATTATCAGTCCTGATGCATTTGATTTTCTTTTGAAATTGATTTGAGATTAGGTTAAAGAAATGGGGCAAATAATGCTTAGTATCAGATTTATGAATGAGAGGATAAATCCATGTGACCCTGCTGAAATCATCAACTATGGTGAGAAAAAATTTATGACCAGAATGAGATGGAATAGAGAATGGACCCCACAAGTCACAATGTATAAGATCAAATGGTGCAGATGCAATAGAATTGTTAATGGCATATGGTAATCTCTTTTGTCTAGAGAAATGACAAACATCACATGGCATAGTCTCAAGAGTCTTACAGTTCAAAGTAGAGCATTCAGGGATACAAGGTAGTTTGTGAAATGAAAGATGGCCTAGTCTATGATGCCAAAGTACAATTGATGGGGATACAGCAGTTGTAGGTATAGAAGTTTTGGCAACAACATTGTCATGAGAAGAAACAGAAAGTACAGTTTCAGAAGTATTGAAAAGTAAATGATACAATCCATTCTTAGCTTCAGCAGAACCAATCATTCTGTTGGTTTGAAGGTCCTGCAATATGCAGTAAGAAGATGCAAATTTGACACAACAGTTATTGGAAGCAGTTAGCTTAGAAACTGAAATCAGGTTGAAAGTAAATCAGGAACATAAAGAACATGTTGCAGCACAAGATTAGGTCCCAGATTTATCTGTCCCACATGGCTTGCAAATGTCTTATGACCATTAGGTAAATTTATTTTTATTGAAATAGGAGATGGAGTAGTTGTAAATAAAGAATAATCACAGACCATGTGATCAGTGGCCCCAGTGTCAAGAATCCAAGTATTTTTATTCAAAGGAGAATTGAAAGAACATTGAAGAGAGAAGATACCTTGCTGTTCTATGTGAACAGTGGCAACAGTGGGATTGGACTCAGCCTGAGTCTGTCCCTGAGGGTTAGCATGACACTTTTTGTATTCTAGAAACTCAGCAAACAACTTGTCAGTGATAGAGGTAGCAGCAGTGTTGGTTGGTTTTTGAGTAATGAAAGAGTTAACAGATGGTTGGGTGTTGGAATTTTGTAAAGAAGGATGTATCCTTGGGCCTTTAGGACCACTCCAGTTAGCTGGGTAACCAATAACTTGGTAACATTTCTCAGTGGGATGGTTATAGCCACAGTGACTGCATTTAAAACGTTTCTTGTCTTTGGCTGGTTCAGTAGGTTTGAAGTATTTAGAGGTTTTGACAGCCATAGCAGCAGGTTCAAAAGGTTTAGAAGTATTTTATAAAGACCTTTGACTCTCTTCTTGCAATAAGAGGGAATAAACTTTTGAAAGGGATGGTAATGGAGAAGATAGCAAAAAATGACTTCTCAAAGCAGCATATGAATCATTTAGGCCAATTAAAAATTTCATAACAGAGTCATTTTGCTGAGCAAGAGTCATGGAATCAAAGATATCACAAGTACAGCGAGACATAGCACCACAAACACATTTGAAAATAGGCCTGTATGTTATGTATTCATCCCAAAGAGATTTGAAAGCAGTATAATATTGGGTAATGGACTGAGAACCCTGGTCCATAGTACTAAGTGATTTTTCAAGCTGGAAAACACGAGGACCACTACTAAGAACATAACGAGCCTTAAGTTCATCCCAAACATGTTGTGCATTAGAAAAGAAAAGCAAGGATTGTCGGATATCTTTGGAAATGGAGTTCAAAATCCAAGAAAGTACCAAGTTATTAGCACGGATCCAAGCAATATGGTCAATAGGATGAGTAGTAGGGTTAGGGGTTACCAGCGAGCCATCAATGAAAGCAACCTTGTTTTTAACACTGAGAGCCATGAGAACAGCCCTAGACCAAGCAACATAGTTATCACCGGTGAACAAATCGGCAACAATGACTGCTCCCGGATTGTCACTTGCATGCAGAAAGTATGGCGAAGCAGGATCATCTGACGGATGAGTCATATCGTACAGATCGAGAAAGTAAAAGTGACGATTGGAACAAATCAAAGGTAATCGGAACAAATCTGAACAATAGTGAACAGATCGGAACAAATTAAAATCGATTGAAACCAGATCGACAGAGAAATCAAACGAAAATACGAAAAATCGCGGAAATCGCGAACAAAAAATCAAACGAACAGCAGCGGAAATCGAACCAAAATCAAGAGGATCGAGAGTAGATCCTGTAAACTGATACCATAATACAGATCGAAATTGAAGAACACAAACTAAAATATATTGATCATTGATGAAAGATTGAACATTACAGATTGTATGTGTATTCTCGAGAGAACAAGAGAGAGATGAGAGAAGGAGGCGGAAAAATGAATAATGAAAAACTAACTACAGAAAACCCTAAATACAATATTTATACTAAGGGAAAATAACTAAAAGGGCTAGACATAAGAGAAAACGTGTTTTACTAATACAAGTGGTAAAACACTTATTTTATACTCTAATATTGCAGCAGAGCTATTTTAATGGCGTCCAAGGATTTTCTGCTACTCAAGCCCTCTCCAGCTCACGCTGCGCACGAGGGCTTACTTTTGCTCTATTCTTGTTCTTCTTGCTCGCAAGCGCACTCTTTTCACTCGTGTAGCCGGAAAAATCTCTCCTCTTTTTCGCTAATACGGTAGAATTTCTAGCTATTTATCAGAGGGCCGCCGGATTTAGTCAGAGGGCCACCCCATATGCCGTCATGACCATTACCTCACCCAGTTAAGTGTTGTTTACTTAGCTTTCTTCTTCCGTTTACTTTCGTATGTGGTATATATTGAAATGGAGAGTTGAAATAAGAATCTTTCTTAAAGCGAGAAAAATTTTATCATGAAAAGCATTTGCATTGCCATATGAATGTTCTTAATGTGCTCTGGTTTGATTGTGCAGCACCTGGTGTTGGTAATAAGACACTTGAGAATCAATGTGTAGATGAAGAAAAAGAAGAACAACTTATCAGACTAATGAAGAAGTTGCTGGAAATTGAAACTAATCTTAAACGTTGTTTTCCGGGACAATACAATGGCTTGATTTGTCCTAAAGTATGTGGTAGCTGATGTTTTTTCCTATTTCTTTATACTTAGTTGTGATGTTGACGTCAATAAAAGAAAAATCAAATTGTTACTTTCATTTGCTCTGGCTTTTGTAGTGTGAGTTAGCGCGTAACACTTGTTGTATTTAGGTTTAGTTTTGCTGGGTCACCTCAAATGCTGATTCAGATTGTAGAAAACGAATAAACAGATTTTTACCTTTTTTTTTACATGTTTCTTTTATCAAAACACACTCTTACTCTGATATGTGAGTTTTTATCCCAATTCTGTTAAAGTCACTGGCTGTATAGTGTAATGGTAGGAAGTCAGTGGCGAAGATCAGGAGCTTATCTCTTCGTATTGAACCGGACTGGTAATTCCCTAGATTATTCTCCATAATTTGCTTTCAACTTGTTACTTATTTTTTTGTTTTCACTGCTTTTTGTGGTTATGCATTACCAATGCTATAGGAAGGCAGCAGCTTGGACCTGCACTCGAGCTAAATGTAATTGGAAAGGCGCTACCCAAGTAAGCGACATGATTAATTTCGATAAAAATTGGAAAGTGAATGCAATCGAGAGAGTAAAGCAACCACCAAGAATAATCACAGAGAAGATCTTGAAACTTGAACCTTTGTGTGATGAGATATTTGTTACCACATTTTTTGTCGACCTGAGAAATTAAATTTCGACTATATTTTCTATTTAACTCTAAAAAGTTTTCAAAGTCCATGTTTGACATTCACCAACCTAGATGTTTCTTTAACTGGTGTGTTTTCTTCGAAGCTACTTGCGTATTTTGCCGAGCGGAGGATATCTGTAGAAACACTACAAAGAAATCGTGTCATGCAGAAAAGATATGGAGATACGGTGAATAGATCTTATAGTTTTCATAATGCTACACATTATGTACAATTATATGTGCTATCGTGACTGTCTTAATAGGAAAATAGTGTTATATGTTGACATTAAATGTTTAGAGTGTTTGTTTATAAAATAATGCAACCCATATTCAATTCATACTCAAAATCTAACTCAACTTTAACCTAACTCCACTATCCTCAATATTATCAATATAATTAAATAATAAAATCAATCATTCTTTTCTTACACATAACATCAACTTTAATTCACACTATCCACTCACATAATTTTAACGAACCATCACTTCACATCATCTCTCTTACTTTTACATCAAATCAATTCTAATCATACAACCTTTTTCAAAATTAACTCTTGTTAACGAAAAAAATTCGTTTTGAGTAGATGTATTTGTATCCAAGCATGTTCTTAATATGCCTTCACTATTAGGAATAAAATTACTCATGAGTTGTGCCTTCCTGGCTATGGCTGTTGCAACAAAGGTGCTTAAAAAAATAATATAACAGTTGATCTTACGGACTAGCTTCTCTGGATGATATTTTTAGCAGGTTGCTATTGCTTTCACGTACCTGAGGAATGGAGAGCTTGTAAACTACAAGTATCGTACTATTATAAAAAAAATTTGGCGGGTACATGCAATTATGATGCTTGTTCATGGCTGAGTTTTGGGCATTTCATCCTTTTGTATCGAAAGTATAATCCCATGTAGAAGTAGAATTTGCAACAACTTTTGTCTTGACTGGTAAATGTTATGTGATTCTTTATTTTGGTTATGCAGGAACCCAATACTGAAAAAATCTTTTATGGGCTGGATGATATGAAGGAAGAAAGTGATATCATCATTGTAATCATCATTGCCTTTTTGGCTCGCTACATGAAAATTTTACTAATGTGACTCAGAACAACTTATATTCTGTTCGTCTTTTGCTAAGGTTGAAGGTGAAATGGACAAGCTTGCAATGGAAGAAGCTGGATT